TTCAGCGTTTTCTGGAATAATTGACATTACGATTATGCGACATCATCATGTTCTGACAGCATGTGCGTTATCGGTGTTATAGATTGTAAAGTTACAATGACAAGAACGGGCATGGCAGGCTTCTGTTCAACGAACTGCAGTAGATGAATTACATTATTAAGCAATCTTTAATCGTATATGAAGTATATCAATGCAATTTTTTTAAGGTGACATGATTCGCAAAAAATCGTCATATCACAAAATGGAATTGTATCCTAAAAAATATATCGTGGCAAACCTACTACAACGTATCCAACTGCAACCAGTAATGTATCCACACTTAGAAGAGTGAGAATATTTCAACATGCCCTTGCTAAATATGTTGCTCTGGACTAATAATCCCTGCAAATCAAATCACCTTCATGTCACGGTAAAATGATAAATGTGGCAATTAGTGTTTGGCTTAAAGACGGGTCGACTTTTACTGCTGCGCCTTGGAATCTCGTGTTTAAACAGCAAATCATGTATTACATGACGTAATGTTGTTTAGTGCTGGCCGCCAGTGACTAGATATGGGGAGTAAACACTGTAATTCAAACAAGGTCTTTATTCTAACATGATATAAGACTGTATATAAAACGTACAGGTTTCTATGCTCAGAGAACCGACTTGTCACATCTCATTTACTGGTGGTGACGAGCTGACGGTTTAAAATTCTACATTCGATGACGAGGACCGGTATGCTTGAAGGCTAGTCACTGCGTATTCGAATTAAAGTACTACAATATTAGTTCGATCGACCATGGAGAGGGCAATGAACTTACGACGACACAAAACTGTGATTTTGAAGTTGCGATCTTCTGATAATTACGAAATAAGCGATTATACCACAGAGGTGTAACCTGGCTTCGTTCGAACCCATCCGATCAACATTGCACGTACATTCAACATGTTGTGAACACCGTTAACATCATCAACAGTGAGATAATTGAACGATATTGGACTAAACATTCATACCGTTCAAAGTAATTAATGAAAACATGCAATTTTGTGGTTGGTATACCGTAGCTATTTAAAGTAAAGTTTAAACGATGACAAGCGAAAATGACGTAATTAACTAAGCAAATTGGGATTTTTAGAGTGGGCTTCGATTGGACACGTTGCTGGAAGGGATAATGGCCAAGAGTCTAATGAGGGAGTGGCAGCTAAAGGATGGAACACATCTGAGAGTACATCCTCCGTTGAGCAGGAGAGATAACATTTACTCGTGTGGAGGAGCGAGATGGATTGTTGCATGGCAGGGCAGTCAGTTTTGTGATGTTGATGGCTTGAGGAAGACTTCATCTACAAGTGGATAGATAACGGTTGATTATTCTGCAATACAAATCCAAACATCCTATTGCAATGTATGAAAAAAACATACACATATACCGTTGTTTCTTCTGCCAAACATCCATAAAACAATTAACTAAACAAAATAAATAACAGATGCTTTTTAAAAGAGTAAAGAAAAACACAACATACGTTAAGTTTTATTATTAGAAAACGTAATAAAACTGTCAGTAATGTACAATGTGCAGCGAAATTGTAGGGTTATTGAATTCCATCTTCCAAGAGTTGGCAGGTGTTGTGTTTTCTGTATTCAGTGCAACTGGAATGTGAAGAATTTACATCAAGCCTGATAACATCACGAGAGTCTTTGCTTTACAGTGCATATAATGTATTGAAGTGAATGACAGAATAACCACAAAAACATAAAGAAAACAAATCAAAATCAATTTGGTAAAGTTGAGGTCATGTGTTACAAAAATATAAAATGTACATTATTGCTCTTCTATAAAAATCAAATACATTGAAGAAAAAAACATAAAAAAGTGGAATTTTGGATGACTAACAGAGAAAAATAACAAACTTTTTTGGCCCATAGAGCTTCAAGGTCAATATTTTTCATTGTGCAACACACTGACTCATTCATTAGATGTTATCAGCAAGTCAAAGCTGATTTCATCTGAAGGCCTTTGATCAGTGATGGACGCTTTTGATAATGAGGCCGCATACTTTTCTAATCCTGTAGTGAGCTCAAAGCCTCTAAGAGGTCATTATGCCCAATGCCATTGAAGCCATCACTCCTTCCGACGGCTTGCTTTATCCTGATACATCCCACAACTGTTGCACAGTCTACTCCCCGACCTCCAAAGCTCTGCTCTCAGTCTCCCGCTGTCTAGGCCCTCTAGGTCTTCCCCTTAGCAGCTGCAACTCCCAATGCCCGTCTCGGTAGCCCAACAACAACAACAACAACCGCCGTTGCCCACTAAGTGACGGTGACATCACACCACGGTGCTTGTGTCATGCTCGAAGCCCTCTCGAGGCCATTCGGCGTGTCGAAGGCTCGCTGGCAGGTCACAGAACCCAGTTGCCATGGGTTGGTTGACTGAGATGACCGGCAGATGCACCGACTGTGCTCCCAACTGTGACAGCTTTCTGCGTTTTAAGTATGCTGAACTCACTTTCGCACCGTACGTTTCCAACCGTGATAATCTGAGGGCAACTAAACACAAAAATCAGCTTAAAAAATAATTCAATCTCGATTTAAAACTGCATATCTCCCAGTTGCTTCCTTAATATCAGAAGAGCGTTCCAGACGGCCGCAGAAGTGCATCTGCGCACGCGCTCCACCCAAATCGCATATTCCAACCCATTATTGTTGATCATCGGCCATCGTTCCGTTTCAGCGACGTGTCCTGCCCAAACCCATTCGCTGTCATGAACAGGTAAAATGTAATAATAGGGTTTTTCCCCTTTTTTTCTGGCAACAAAACTGAAACCTTTTTACAAGGAATCATATCTGCATTAACCACAATACTTGTGGCCAAAATGCAAACAAAAAACACACTGATAATAACACATTCCTGCGGAGGGAACTGGTAGGAACGTTGGGTTGCTCGGTCAATGGCCAGGGTCAACGGCGGCACCACGTGGTGTATTCCACAAATATGCCCGACTGTGAGGGCGGGCACAAGCCGGCGTGAGTAGGTTAAACGTTGAGTTTTATAAGGGCACCACGGGGTGACCAGCCCCTCCCCTCCCACCCCACCCAGCCCCACCCTCCCCACCGAGCCCCTCCCCACCCAGCCCCTCCCCACCCAGCCCCACCCTCCCCTCCCCACCCAGCCCCTCCCCACCCTCCCCTCCCTCCACTCCCCACCCAGCCCCTCCCCTCCCATTTTTGGACGCACGACGGACGGACACAATAATCCCCTGTGGGCTGGTGGTGTAACCAGAGGTTCCTACCAGTATATGCATTGTCCTTGAAACTGATTGGTCCACACCAGAGACGGCTTTCTTTTGAGCCTCGTCTCATTTGGTGCTAGACTAGATGACGCCAAAAGGCGTCACACAGCTCAAAGACAATGCACTATCAAAGTAATGAGGGCTCGGGGTTAAGCATCTGCATCATTAGACCTCCTTTGCCAGTACCAAAATATAAATTACAAGCTTGCATCTGCCCCACGCTTCGCTAATTATATCTAGAAAGCTACAACCCACGGTACTGTCCAAAAGCTCAATCTTTCTGGCCACTCTGCGTGCACTAGGAAACAGGACCATTGGCCGAAACGTCGCCTCATGTATTTTATTTCGTGTGCTTATGAGACCACTTCTAACGCGGCGTCACCAAAGACATTGTCGCTTAACGCAGGTTACCGTAAGTAACCGAACACACGTTACCATAAGGTAACTTAACACAAACGTAACTGAACACACGTTACCCTAACTGAACACGCGTTACCGTAAGTAACCGAATACTCGTAACCCTAACTGACCGCAGATTACCGTAAGTAACCGAACACACGTTACCCTAACTGAACACGCGTTACCGTAAGTAACCGAATACTCGCAACCTTGACTAACCACAGATTACCGTAACCGAACACGCGTTACCGTTACTGAACACGTGTTACCGTAAGTAACCGAATACGCGTAACCTTGACTGACCACAGGTTACCGTAAGTAACCGAACACGCGTTACCTTTACTGAACACGCGTTACCGTAAGTAACCGAATACTCGTAACCATAACTGAACACAGGTTACCGCAAGTAACCGATCACGCGTTACCGTTGGGGGGGGGAAACTGAACACGACCATAACGGAACGCGCGTTACCGTAAGTAACCCAACACGCCTTACCGTAAGTGACATAGCACGCGTTCACTAAAATAACTTTCAACCCCCTCCCCCCCGTCACTCTCAGGCCGCTGAGAGCGCCGACTTTTGGCAGTGCGCGTTGACGGCCGCGGGCGCGCATTTACGGTAGCGACCGCCCCCGTCGCCCCGGTAACGCAGAGACGCCCGCACGTCCGCGCCCAGCGTGGCTACGAAGGCCGTGAAGTCTTCGTGAGTACGAAGGCCGTGAAGACTTCGTGGCTATTAAGGCCGTGAAGGCTTCGTGAGTACGAAGGCCGTGAAGACTTCGTGGCTACGAAGGCCGTGAAGTCTTCGTGACTACGAAGGCCGTGAAGTCTTCGTGACTACGAAGGCCGTGAAGTCTTCGTGACTACGAAGGCCGTGAAGTCTTCGTGGCTACTAAGGCCGTGAAGACTTCGTGGCTACGAAGGCCGCGAAGTCTTCGTGGCTACTAAGGCCGTGAAGTCTTCGTAGTTACAAACCACTTTGTTCTAACTAACGCACGCGAGCTACAAGGAGGTGCAGATTCACATACTGTCGTAGGCCGTTGCGACACTGTCGGTGATTTGGGCTTGATAGAGCGCTGCCGCCGTTGTTGCGTGTATGATAATGTAATCAACGTACTGTTCTGTGTCGCGCTTTAAATTATTATATTTATTTTATTTTGAGCCATCCAGTTAGTCCGTACGCATGGAGGGGGGTTAACCCAAATGCGTTCGCTTGCGTGTGGGGGTCTACTGACAATGTTAGTACGCATCGGAAACGGGAGGGGGGGGGGGGGGTGAAGCCTCGATGATAATTTGTCTACACTGGCCTTCAAATGAGTTAGATAGTCGGTGGACTATGTTTGCTTAAACACGTTAATATTTCGGTATTAACCCTTGATCGTTTCTGCGTGGATCAAATATCCGCCGTTCTATAGGATCCGGTGGGGGGTGGGGAGGTCAAGCGTTGACAGATTTTTGTTTGCGTACGTACTAAATGGATGGCCCCTATTGTAGAGCGTTACATATTGACAACATACTGACTTTTGCGCGTGATTCTTATTCTGCATGTTTATGATACGGCGCTACTGCATTTCGTCGTGCTGGTGATGATACAGTACTGTACTCTTGCTAAGATAGCCGTGGTTGTCCAATGTATATCCTGGTCTCGCCATGGGAATGTGGAATTTCCGCCGTTGCTTCGGGGCCTCCGGCAAATATGAGCGCCGAAGCGTGTTCATGTGAGCGGAGAGACCACCAACTCTCTGACTTTAGTACTCTACCTCATTGCTGAAATCGCACAGTTACAGTCCATTTGTAATGAGCCACGATCAATCATCCACTGCTGGATGAAGGCCTCTCCCCAAGCCGTAACCGTCTCACGATCCTGCGATGTTAACCATTCGGCATCTGCACACAAAGTCGATTTCATCGCTGCATCTCCAAGGTGGTTGTGCTTTGGCTGCCACTCCCTTCATTAGTTGTTTGGTCCACTCCCGCTACTATTGTTTGACTAGCGTACGTTCTGTAATCCACGTCTTCCTCATTCTGCATGGCAGTGCAATTCTAAGCCGTCAATACTAGTACTTGATTTCTTGCGGACAATCCACTTGACGTACACTACTTGCCTACTCCAGGACGTAGTGGCTTTACACTGCATACTATACTCGAGTTGTATGTCAAGAGCAAGCCAAAGTAAAGTGTCTCTTTGCTCAATTATGTGAGTTTTATGTGGCACTCACATCTGCTGTCAGTCCTGTGCCAGTTTTGGAAATTCCACATTCCTATGGTAGACACCAGACTTTTTTTTATCAGGATTACCACTGTTTACTTTCCACAGTGACGGGCATTAATAGTTGGAGAAAGCGAATACTAGATTGACATAAATACAATTTTGGTACGTTAAATAAATGTATTTAACACCATTCTGTTCATAACCTTTATTTAGCCTGCGTGCCATTTTCATTGGTGACATTGATGTCACAGCACAGATTTAAAAACATTTCCATTCACAACTATAAGAGAGCAGTGCATCGCTTTGTATCAGCGAATAAAACCTGGAAGACATCAAATAACTACTTTTAATTGCCTTCAGTGGGCCTCATCAATACAAGGTGGCACTTATAAAATTCATCACATGTCAGCCAAACTGCCTTTTTTGGCCTCAGTGCTGAGATATGTAAAATAAATTGAACAAAAATAGCATTACTTGTGCAGTCGATTGTGACTAAAACCCTGACCAACTGAATAAACGTGAGACAATGATTGAGCAATAGGTAGGTAAATCACGGAAAGGAACCCAGAATAGTAGTCGTGATGGCTCAACGCCCTAACTTACTACCGAGCTGAGCCACTCGGCCACTTTACCAGAAATGGTCTGTTAAGAAGTAATAAAATAATGATTGAAAAAATATATCGTATATGCTTTATCTTCTCTCCAGACAGATGGATTACGAAGATTTGGAAGAAGCCATTGAACGTGAGCTACGATTAATCAATGTGCCACTGGAGGAGTTGGAAGGCAATGATTCTGAAGAGGACCAAGCTGAAATTGCTTGCATTGAAGTAAGCATCCTCTTTATATTAAAAATCGGCTTGACATTTCCGAGACAGCAAATTTGCCGCATACTGAGGCACAAGGAATATATAAATAGGACAATATAAAACTACAGAAAATGCTGCAAGGATTTGATTTAACACTACACTTTATAAATATATACTTGCTTTAAAGAATTAATATGGCAGACAATGACAACAAAAGTAACTATTCATTCATACATTTACATTAAAAAGTCAATGCAAGGACAAATTCCTGCCACTGAGATTTTGTGAAAACGTAAATTACATCAATTATGCAAAAAAGTTACAGAAGAATACTCTACATATAAATAGTTGTTTTGGCATTTCGATAAAGAATAAAGTGTCAATTTAGTGTCTACTTACAAAAAATACCTTTTGCTTAATATCCTTCAAGTGACTGGACACCAGACATTTTAGGTTTTAAAGTATGTAAGCGATGTCATCAGGTAGTGGAAGCTAACCAGGGTTGAGCTAGGATAGTGCTTGGATGGGTGACTGTTGTGTGCAACAGTTGGCATAGGCTGTGTGATTCTGTGGTGGACAGCAGAGAGCACTGCATTGTTACCTATATTGTACTGTCACTTGCCGTAAACGTTCACATATCCGACCCTGTCGCATATCTGCCTATACCGTTATAAGGTCGCACTCATTAAACACAAAGCGCGTGCCACAAATGAACCACAAATACCTTGCTGATCTCGCCAAGGAGCATAAACTGTCACGCGAACTCCGGTCATCCTCGCAAAGGTTTTTGGCTGCGCATCGAACAAAGACGCTCACTGCGTCGCCCGCTTTCAGATGCGCTCCTACGGCCGTCTGTAATATTAGGATGCCACTGGGACTATGCAATTTTCAATCTAGATTGAAAACGCATTTATTTAGAAATTAACTTTTGTGTTTAGTTGTCCGTACGCACCTGCGATTAGCATGTCTGCGTACGGTGCAAAAGAACTTCAACATGCATACAGTATGTACCTTTGTATGTGCTTATCTGCCAAATAAGCTATACTACTTTGCGTAACAATTGAATAAAGGTCAACTGTTTGTCTTGATGTGTGTATTCATTAATTGTTTTGAGCATGGAGATTTGAGGTGGCTGGGTGGCTCAGAGGTTAGAGCGCTCAGCTGGCATTACTGAGATCATAGGCCCTAATCTGAGCAACCTCCCACGAACAACTGCACAAAAACCCTTCATATTGACTTCGGTTTTGCACTGAATTAGGCTATATTCCAGTTTAGAGAATTAACAACATAGAAAATATGTTTTGCCTCATGACACAATGTCAATAGTGCAGTTGGAATCAATCGGGGGGGAGGATTACGAAAGTACATAAAAGGACAATGAACATGCAGAATCTTTGTATCCTCATGCAGAATATTAGTATCCTTTGACTTGCAATGGCAACCATGCTGATTCATGAAAAGTTTATTTTATTATGGGTAGGAGTCAAATAACAATGCTCAATTAGCAATCATCACTACCATTACCCCTATTAATGATTGTAACGTTTTTCTGATGTGTGTACATTGATAAGCCTGAAGAGGAAGCCCTGCCTGACACAGTGCTCATGTACATGGAAAGAGTGAAGAGCAGAGCTGAGGATGCAGAAGACATCTACAATAAGTTGCACGAGGAGGAGCCCTACCTGAGTATGAGACGAAATAATGTTTATGCTAAAACAAATCCAGTATAAATGTATACGTTTTCCTGAACCTTCCTGAATTGCAGATCCCTTACAACTCCTACCAAAGCCTCAAACTTTGTTATAACATATTTACTGACGGATAATAATTAATCTTGGTACAGCCACAATGTCAATTCATGATGAAAGGTTGCAAGTTAAAATCCTGGTCTGTGTTTTACTCAGCCCATACCCTTTTCTAGTTACTGAAATTAATATCACTTTCTAGTGAGTCAATAGCGGTTGTCCTATAGAGATATAGGCACTGGCCATGGAAAATGTAATTATTAATAGACTCAGGGCCACCCATGGACATGCTTCTTAGAGGATGGGGACCTTTTCACTTTAACGTCTAATGTATTTTTTTATTTGTTTTATTTAATCGCATCATTGATGGATGTACTGAGGGACAACATATCGAGATTAGTCATGTCATTTTTATACCTATAGTGTGGAATGCATACCTAGTTTTTTTTCCCGTAGTTAATCTGAACACTATTATTCTGGCTCCTATTTTTTGTGAACCATTTTTCACTTTTCAGACCACCTGTATTTTCACTCAGCATCTGCCAGGCATGTAACCAGTTGCTAATCCATTTTTGTTCTATTGATGTTACCATTTATTTTTGATCTCCCTGTTAAGTGCAATGTTAATTGTGCTCAGCTTATTTGATCGTGTGTAGTTCACTATGGTTGATAACTAGTGTCACAGTAAAATCCCTTACTCAATATTTAATCAAATTTTTGTATCACATGCGATTATTACAAAAATAACGTCTCCACTTGTCATATCTTTCCTTGCAGACAACTGGGCTCCAGTTTCATTTAAGTCTCACATATTACTTGAGGAATTAGCCAAGGAATATGGTGAAGATCCTGAGGTCCTAAAGAAAAGGGTAGGTTAACCCTAGATATGTGGCAATATTGCATCCATTTTAGAATCACATAACAACATACAGTGGACAATTATATATTTAAGTTCAGTTATTTGCAACACTTGAAGGCTTGGATTCTATATTACAACATTTTTTTTTACATCTTGTTTTTGGCTATGAATTCAGTAGGAATTATGAATTGATGTTTAAGTTGTAAATCCAGCTTGTGACTTACAAGAACATCGAATATCAACCAGTCGTGCCCTCGGAGATCACGCACGGTGGACACGAGTTCACGATCTGTTACAAAATTAGTTGTGGTGTACCACAGTTGCATTTGGGTGATTTATTTTTGCTTTGTGAAAAGGTGATCGCACCTTGTGTGGACAGTTTTGAGACTATATAAAGAAACCCACTGCTTGTGGGGCAGTAAGCTTCCTGAGGTCTGGACGATTGGGATCCTCAATGAGATGCTTGTTTCCGATGATGGTGCTCTCCCAGTTGTTCCCACGCCAGTCTTCCATTATTTTGTCACCATAGGTTTTGTCGGAATTGGAGGAATATGAACGGCAGAGCTGTGAAGAGGCATCAGAAGAATGTGACTCTTCATTGCCCCCTGCTGCTGGGAAAGAGGACATTAGTGGCCGCGAAACAGATGCTGATGTGTTCCTAAGTAAGTATATTTAGCATTGCGAAACGTATTTTGAAATTAATGTTATTTATGGGTGGCTGTGTGACTCAATGTGCTGTTTCCTGTAATAAATTATTTGGACCAGCAGTACAAAGAAGCTGCATTTCAACCAGACACATTAACCTGGGAAAAGCAAGTTTTCCAATGTAAACAAAAACATGTTATGAACGAGTCTTGTCAGTATGACCGTATAATAATAAAACTCATCACATGAAAATGTTATTATTCAATTGGGCCTGTACATCTTGAGGCTTGGGGGCGCCTTCACCCAGGAGTGGATTTATGATGTCTGATGAGAATGATGATAAATGTAATGAGAGTTAGAAGAACTTGTCTACACAGCATAATAACTTGTGTATTTGTTATAAGAGATGTCTATTTTGGAAATTCTGTGGTGTCTGTACCTGAATCATTCATCAACACAGCATGCAGCTCTGCTGTCTGCAGAGATTTCCGTAAAAAAACATTCTGCTTCATATCAATACTGAGAAAACACTGAAGTAACTCTAGAGAATGGCTTATAGTGTGTCATAATTCATTGGTTTACCGGCTGGGTAACTTCCTTGTGTGTGCAATATTGTGATTCAGAGCAGGTTTAATGGCTTACTATTGCAGGTGAGCAGAAGATAGTCATCTGTGCAATGGAGACTTATCCAAGGCACAGTTGAGTTCACCCGTGCCTTGCTTCGAATACTTTAGCCGTTAGACTGATATGATCTGCGTTTTCCAAATCACCGAGAAATCATCCAGTATTTTAAGATAAGCTGGGTGGAGCCTGGATAGTGGCTTGATGGGTGACCACCATGCATAACATACGGGTACAATAGACGTTATGGACAGTAGAAGGTAGTGCATAAATATACATTGCTGTTTTGCATTTCCATTTTCAACCCACAACTTGTGGTGAAATGTGGTCAAATATCCCTCAAGATGTAGGGAGGTCCTCATCCAGCAATGGATTGACAAAATGGTGCTGTACATGGACATGACTTGTATTTTTAACCACAACATAGCAGACAACAGGATGTCTGAAGCGATAACTTTTTGTATTTGCAATGATGACCACTCATTAAATGCAGATGAGGGGATTTCTACTTTATATGTATAAAATTGATGTAATTTTATATCATGGCATTTTTTCGCATATGTTTTCACAGCCCAGTGAAATAGATTTGTAAAACCACACAAAGCCATTACCTTCGAGCTATATGGCTGCACATCGAAATTAGGTCACGTCACAAAGGATAAAATATAGCCCGAATGGTGAACGTAATATTCGAGCCAGATTTAATACAAAATGGTTTATAATGATAACAAGATGTTCCATTAGCATTAGGTCTGTCCGCGGTGATTTATACATACCATGATGCATGAATTCACCCTTACAAACTCCTCATTATACCAAACAAATGTGCCCCCATGTGGTGGAATCACTGACTATGCATGATTAATTCTGACATGCACACTGCTGCTGTAAATCTCTTAAATGAACGAGTATTTTTGCACTTGTTATTTCATTTGCATCTATTTGTATTTATTTGCACACTCAATCCTGACAGCCATGTGTTCATATGTTTTTGTATGTGGGATTACACTATCATCAAACAGGCAAAGTGTATCCCTGCTCAAGCAAATGTGGGGTGGTGCTTGTATCAATAGACAGCTCTTCGCCAATGATCACAAATCCACCTTTCCATAGTTAGGGCTAGAAGGGGAATTTAACAAAGAGCAGTAAATATGATGATCGTGAACTTGAACATCAGTCACAATAGTAGACATCTGTGTATCAGTGTCACATAGCACATCCTAGTTGTAAAACATAAATTTACACGAAAATATATCATAATAGAAATGATCAATGAATATCAGTGGTTTTGCAGGTGTATTTTTTATGAGAAATAATCTCAGTGGGTTATTAATCTAGTTAATCAATGGATATTATATTTAATTATGAAATCTCTTCGAATATAATATTCAGTTGTTGAGTGCTTGGCTCACAATTCAGAATATCACAATATCAAATCCCAGTCAGGAGTTTAATCAATCTTATCATCCCTCTAGAGTCAATAGTGAGTACCTTTGGAAGTCAGCAGTGGAAATTCCAAGGGTATACTGGCCCCCTTGGTAGGAATGTGGAATTACCACCACTGACTCATTCCTACCAATGACATCAGTGCTGCCCAATACTTATTTGAACATGCAGACACTTTGACTTGATATATCATGTAATAGTTCACCTAATTTCCGAAATTGCAATACAAACTGCTGTATCTTGTCAGCCACAGAAGGGATATTTCAGGACTTTTCTCAAGGTCTTTGCATTTGCCATGTTTCTCATATATGATATGTCTTTGTTTATCTGTGCAATCTGTGTGGTTCACTTCATATCTCTGCTATCTACTATTGCAACCTCGCTGCTGGGTATGGCCATACTAAGTCTGTTTACCATGTTCACACCACATAGCTATGTTATAAATGAGAAAGACATTTCCCTGAAGTGGTACTCAAAAAATGAACCTATCTCAACTTTTTTCGATTTAAAGCTTTCGTGACTTCAGGGATTCATCTTCTTTGGTTCTTTCGGTAAAGTCACGTAGAATGAGAATAAAATAATAAATTGATAAAATATTGTGTTATTTTATTTTATCAATTTATTATTCTATCTCAACTTTAATTGACACACTTGCATAAGCAGCCTTCCTTGCTTCCTGTGTGCAATTTGAGCAGCGACTCTACGTATCACTACACTCCATCGATTAAAACTATTTAAGTTCATTATTGTTTGTCATTGCCACATAAAAAAAGGTGTATTCGATGAGGGTATTAACTCAGAGGAGACAGGATCTCTACTTCAGAGATGATATGTGGTTTTATTAAGAATGTTTACAGCGCTGAATGTAATTGGTTCTTGTTATATCTCCTGAGCAATAATTGTTTATAAACGACCTTGGAAAAGACATACTGTTTGTTACACCTAAGCATTACAAGCATAAATTTAAAGTTACGTGTACAACCAACCCATCTATACAATATGTTATAAATTCGCTCTTGCAGATATTAAGGGACATACCAGTGCCGGGACGGATTCTATAGCGGAGACGGCAGGTGCCAGCGAGGAGGCGAAGAGACTCGTGGGAGCCGGTGGCAGAGCCCACGGGCAGCCTGAACACGAGCAGCACCGCCGCGCGAGACAGGAGCAGGACGAGCAGGAAGAGATGGACTTGCAGCGGCAGCGGCTGGTACATTCCTAGTTGCCACACCTTGCCAAGCAACACAAAGCAGTGGCTGGTATCACTCAACTGGCATTATCTCCCGCGTACTGAAATACAACGCAGTGGCTGGTGTTGTACAACTTGGTTTTATTTTTCAAGTGATATCAGGCAAGAGATGCTGCCATGATGTGATGGTTAGCACACTGGACTGAAATGTACACCACAGTCGCCTCGAACAGGAGGTCGTGTGTGGTGGAGTAAAGCCTGGGTTCTCCCAATTCTCTCAAGATGTCTGGCCAGCCTCAAAGAGTGGGCACAATACCCTCGGACTGAGAGATGTTCTACATGCAATGCACATCTATGTATGTTGTTAAATCTAAGAGATCCTTCGAGTGGAGGCACTTCTGCCAGGAGTGGTATGAGCAAGCAGTAGTGCTTGAGTGCTAGGCTCGTAATCACAAGGTCGCAAGTTCAAATAATGGATGGGGTCTACTCAGCGCATTATTCTCCATGGTTTAAATGAATACCATTGTGTTAAGTTTACAGTGACCACCCAATAGAGAGACTGGTCCCAAGTAGGGGGATGTGTAATGTCTACCACTGGCTCAGGGAAGCCAATGGTGATAAGTACCAGCCAATTACTCATTTGTGAAGGGAGACACTGACTTTCATTAACAAACAGTGGCTGGTATTGTAGAACTTGAAATGTCTCCCACGTAATGCCAATAAGTGGATAACATAAAACAGATGATTGGACTTCTTTCTTCCATTACCTCCATTTCCCGAATTTCAGATTTATAATTCACGTGTTGACAAATGAGTATTTTCTATCAAAGTCCTACAGAAAATAGTCTGCACATTTCAGTAAATATGGCCATTTTTCCAGCCACGTTTTCTCAATTTATTAAGTTGGTGTTCTAAAACAAATTGGCCACACATGCAGTTATTTTGAACTGGCAATTTTGCAAATGGCTTAGAGTTGTTATGCATTCAATGCATATTTGTATGTTATTCAACATTTTTCCATCAAACATGAATCGTACATTAAGTCAATGCAGCTAGAATTCTTGCAAAATATAATCTTGGACAATATAATAAAATCTGCATTGATTTACTTTACATATTATGCCATATAGTGTAGGTCATACAGTATGTAGCATGCTCGATTCGCATTGATGAGGTTTAAATTCATATCCTGATCAGGGGTTGACTCAGCCCATCATTCTTCTGGGGTTGATAAAACGTTCACTAATTTGTGGTAATTCGGCAGTGGTGATAGTTTAGATCGACCGGCCCCTGCCATTTTCATATGAAATTGTAGTTCATGACAGCCAACAGTTGAGCATGACCCAATGCATGTTTGAGCGGGAGAATAGTTTAACTTTGCTGATTTTACTCCAATGTATGTACATTATCTTAGTCGATGGTTTTATCTGTGATTGATTACATGCAGCTCCAACAAGCAAAGGTGGAAGAAGTAGAACGTGAAAATCAAAAGTCATTTGAAGCGGAAATGAGAAACTATGAGGTATGGTGATTGCTTTGAAAGTGTGACAATCACATTGACCTGAAATAGATCCAATATGTGTAGCTAGCAATGTCTGTTGTTCATGTTGCATGTATGCATGTTGAACTTCTTTCGCACTGTACGTAACCAACCGTGCTAATCCGAGGTGCGGGGTATGGATAACAAACTAAACACAAAAAGTTACTCCAGATTATGACATAAATAGGTCTATATGAGGACATTCATGGTGAGGGTTCTCACTAATGTGCCAATGGATCACTTCATGGAATTGTAGTTTGTATTATTATCACCTTCTTTGCACTTTCATGACAATCTTAGAGACCCTGTGACATCATTCAAAGAAAGGGACATTGTGCTCTAAAAGTGTTCCTGATTTATAAAATGTTGCCCTGAACTGACTTTCACGATGGTTACCGTATTTTCCCGCATATAGCCCGCATACGCATATAACCCGCAGACACATATAACCCGCAGACGCATATACCCCGCAAAAAATAGCGTTTTGTGTAAAACAAATTTCAGATAGCCCGCACCTCCATATACCCCTCATGCATTCATATATTTAACGTCGTTACCGCATATCAATACGAAGTTTACATTTGGAATACATTCCACTATCAATTGTTAACATTAAAGTCATAACGTTCACAAAGAAAACAAACTAACCGGAAACGAGTGAACTTAAAACAGTAAATAAGTAACAAAAGTAAATATCCAATAAATAAGTAACACATAACTGGTAGATAAGTAAGTAGTTTTAGCACTGGTAGATTGCGCACTGCGCAGATAATAGCGGCACTACGGTAACGCCGTCGCCTCGCCCCCCCCCTCTCCCCCCAGCTGCCCCCCCAACCCCCACCTCTCTCTCCCCCCAGCTGCCCCACCCCCCAACCCCCACCTCTCTCCCCCCAGCTGCCCCACCCACCAACCCCCACCTCTCTCTCCCCCCAGCTGCCCCACCCCCCAACCCCCACCTCTCTCTCCCCCCAGCTGCCCCACCCCCCAACCCCCACCTCTCTCTCCCCCCAGCTGCCCCACCCCCCAACCCCCACCTCTCTCTCCCCCCAGCTGCCCCACCCCCCAACCCCCACCTCTCTCTCCCCCCAGCTGCCCAACCCCCCCACCACTCTCTCCCCCCAGCTGCCCCACCCCCCAACCCCCACCTCTCCCCCCAGCTGCCCCACCCCCCAACCCTCACCTCTCCCCCCAGCTGCCCTACCCCCCAACCCCCACCTCTCTCTCCCCCCAGCTGCCCCAACCCCCACCTCTCTCTCCCCCCAGCTGCCCCACCCCCCAACCCCCACCTCTCTCTCCCCCCAGCTGCCCCACCCACCAACCCCCACCTCTCTCTCCCCCCAGCTGCCCCACCCCCCAACCCCCACCTCTCTCTCCCCCCAGCTGCCCCAACCCCCACCTCTCTCTCCCCCCAGCTGCCCCACCCCCCCAACCCCCACCTCTCTCTCCCCCCAGCTGCCCCACCCCCCAACCCCCACCTCTCCCCACAGCTCTCCCGTCGCCGGTAAACAGTGCGGGCACATCAAATATTGTCGTTTAATTGTACAAGCATTTCATTTAAAACGTGATAACGTGTGCAATTTTAGTGTGAGTGGTTTATTCAGCAGTGCTTTAGTCAAAGGTAAGTGTTGCATAGTGGATAGTCCTAACATGAAAAAATCTAACGAGTCATGACATGTCACACGTGTAAAATATTTTTGGGATAGCCCGCACCTCCATATACCCCGCAGGGTCTTGTTTTGTTTGTAAAAAGTGGTATATCCCGCGGGTTATATGCGGGAAAATACGGTAATTGTCCTCAAAGTCTTCCAAAGAGTCAAGTAAACTATTGTATTTACACAACATGCGGAGACCATGCTAAACATAATGTTTATGTGTTGCTCAATCATCTACACATTTCATGAAGTGAAATGACATGTACAAAATTACCTCCGTGAAATAACTCGTACATTCTAATGTAACTGATATTTCTGCATCCCTTTTGTATCTTATGCATGCGCATTTCCAAGGCTGAAATTGCGCGCTTTCAGGAACAAATTGATCATGAGAAGAAAGAACTTGAGCAGAGGCTTGCGAAAGACAGACAAGAACAACTCGACAGGCAGCAGCCCGCAGCACTCAAGATCCAGGCCCTATTCAAAGCCTACAGAACACGGAAAATATACGCGCCCTTGATAGCAGCAAGACGAGAAGAGCTCAGGAAAGAAAAAGAACTTGCTCTCAGAAGGGAAAAGGAGGAGCGGGACAGACGAGAAAGGCTGCAGAGGGAAGAGGAGGAGCGGAAGAGAAAGGAGGAAGAACGGCGACGAAAAGAAGAAGAGGAGATGAAGCAAAGGCAGGCGGCGGAGAAAAGAAGGCTTGACGAGGCCGAGAGAAGGAGGATGGAGTATGAGAGACAGAAGGAGGAAGAGCGGAAGAGGCTGGAAGAAGAGCGCTTGCGAATAGAGATGGAGAGATTGCAGCGAGAAGAAGTGAAAAGGAGGGAAGGCGAACGGCGCAAGTTGGAGGAGGAACAAGAACGGCAGCGAGAAGAGGAAAAGAGAAAACGAGATGATGAAGAAGAAGAAGCAGCGAACAGAAGGAAACGAGAAGAAGTAAAGGGAAAACAGGAAGAAAAGAGAAGGAAAAGAGAAGAAAGAAAGCAAAAACAGGACGAGGAAGAGGAGAGGAGGAAACGGGAAGAGGAGGAGGAGAGAATGCGAGCAAACGAGAAAGAAGAAGAAATCAAGAAGCTAGAAGGAGAGAAAATAAAATGTAAAAATCACGAACCAGAGCAAAGCATCTCTGAGGCAGAGCAACTGGAAAGTCCAACGCAAGCAAAGCGGTGCACACCACAAGAAAGTGCGATGAGCATTGATGTGAAGTGCATGGATGTGAAGGAAGGATATAGATCAAACAGAGAACAAGTAATGAAAAAAGGACGGATAATTGATACAACCGCGGTCTTGCAACCTTGCAAGAAGGATTTGAGCATTACCCCAGATGAAGAAGTAACTACATCCGAGCACATGGACATCCCACAACGCAACATTGATGGAAAGTTAACTTTAGTTGAACACCAAGGGGAGATGCAAAGCTACGCTTCTAGCTGGACTCTTTCGGATGCAGTCGAGGCACGGAGGCTTGCCTGGATGAAAACCTGCAAGCCTTGGTCGAGAATTGTGGCGGAGAGCCGAGGTAAAGATTTACGTAAAAAAAGACCACGAAAGAACTCTGCAGCAAAACATCTCACCCCACTGTCTGTGGAGCAGATACTAAAAGGGGGCTTGAGATCTTCAATTCACCAGGTATTATTGAATAAGACCATTGCGAATGCTGTTGTGCTGGGCCTGGTGCCACATGCCAGTAATCTACAGGTCACATAGATATTTTTGACCTGTCTGTGCAAACTTTTTTATGTTATCCACATGAGTGTATGGGTTTATCCCCCAGGTGTTTCTGATTCCTCCCATATGTAAATGACGAATATTAGAGGCTCAGTAAGACTTTCCTGGACATATGTGATGGACATGCATTTTATTTTATTTACTGCATAAAAAAATACCGTTCAACTTTTATTTGACACTTTATTTGCTCAAACACAGCTTGATTTTGGTTTGTTAGGCAAAGTCTTGTAGGGCGGTTGTGGATTACAAATATGCTTTGCTGTGTGGCTAAAAGCCGATAGTGCAATTGGGATATGGTTGAATTAAAATGTAACATAGATGTACCATGGAATATAAATAATGATATAAATGCATAGGTTAAATTGGCATTTAATTTAAGTAAAATGTTTACAATTTAGCTTTGGCAGCAAGCCGAGTTACATTTTTACGTAATTTAAAATCACCTTTAGCCAACAGAATTGGTTTCCATGCCGCTATGTAATCTACATTACGCCATTAACCATGTTGAAAGCAATATATCACACCAGTGCAGTGCTTTCAGTAAATACATATATGAGATGTGATGCTAAATATGTTGGTTGTGCAAAACTCCCTTGGTTTAATTAATGGTTGTTACTTATTCAGGTCACAACAGTTTGTTTGCAAGACCTGCCTGGCTGCAATCTGAGCACGCTGGCTCAGTGTCCCAATCTGCAGTCTTTGAGGCTCAATCGCTGTGGCCTGTTGGCTCTGGACGGGGTCAACAACTGCAAGGGACTCAGAGTTATCGACACTCAGGTATCGCCACTAAACACGTTAACATTACACGTAGTGACATTTAACATAGAAAAAAAAAAGTATTTTACAAGAGTTACATTGTAATACTCATTCTTGCAGTACGTACATGTAACGGACAGGGTAATAGAGTTAGTTTGGGTTATCACGTGACAATGTGTTACAGTATTTGACGTAATAGAGGTGACAGACTGCTAGTTACCATTAAATACTCGTATTTTAATACTTGTATACATTTCCAGGTGATTTCCTTCATAGGTAGTAAAACACAAGTTATTACAATGCTAGATTCGTATAATAGATATGTGTAATATGATATTCTCTGTGAGTTTTGCAGGACAACAGCATTGAGACTGTGAACTGCCAAGACCTAGAAAACCTGGAAGTCCTTCTGCTGTCTCACAACCATCTCACCTCGATTCACGGTTTAGAAGGATGCACCAACCTTACATTGTTGGAGCTCTCCCACAACAACATCACAAGGATAGGTTTGTGCCGGCAGTGTTTGTGTATTCACTATCACCGCGACACACCAGCATAAGCGGTTCACAACTGCGACACCACAGCCTGAATGCCAAACACCATCACCTTTTGTCTCTCATGATGACTATTTCGGCATATTCCTTGTTAATAATTATTTTTTGGTTAGGTCACAATGATCTGTCAAAATTTGTGTCATTAAGTTCCTCCACCACCCGACACAGCCATACAACGTGATTGTTCTATGTACAAGCATTCTGACTTTTTAGATTTTATTCTTACTTCCTGGATATTTGTCCTGAAAACCCGAGACGTGCAGTTTCATGCGAAACATTGCATCTAATTGTTAAATTTGGTTGTGAAAATTGTTCAACTCACCGGTGAGCGGAAACAATAATAATTGGTGTATGACAAACTCGTGCATATGACAATTTAATTTGTTTGGCTATGTTGCTTGGTAGACGGTTTTAACAACACAAATTTGGCGAGATCATTATATGGCCTAACCCCAACATCATTTATGAATCACAACATTGGCTGTGAAAACCTACGCATTCAGATAAGCTTAACTGTATTTGTCGAGTAAAGTAAAAGTGCCTCTCTGCACAAAGGAGTGTGGGATAAAACTTCATCATAGTTGCCAGCCCTGAGCCAGTGTAACCATTCCACAGAATTATGACACGGGCCATTCTTTCCATAGATCAGCGACCAATTTACACAACCTGGTGCTCATTTAATGACCCCTTAAGGATCATGGCTTGACTCAACTCCTGAAATCGCATTTGAAGTAGACAGCTGAATTTCATGAACCTCAGTCTCAGTGAATATGGTAAAAATAATTGACCAGCTTGCTTTCATGAGTAAACCCCGCATTTCACCCGGACTGCTGTTGGAGCCAGTGGTCACATTACTGGGTCAACTCCGAAGTAAGAAGAGCGACCTCTGGTATGCCATTATAAAAAAGAAAATGCAGAAGGGTATTGCAATAATATATTTTGCTTGGGATAGCCTAACTTAACCCAAGCCTGCATTGAGTGTTATTAATAACAATGCTTTGTTATGATTGCTACTGTCCAGCTACAGAGGGTAGTGAGGGTGTGAGAAGGTAAGGGCAGGAGGAGCTGAACCCATGAACCTGCTTGGCTCTGTACAATAGGGGCAAGATCCGAGCTCTGCCGAGCACCGCTCCTGAGCTTGCCTGAGCCTGCTTGCAAGTGGTCGTGAAAGCACAGCATGACGCTCTTGCTGTGCACTCTACGGCAGGCGGTTTGGAGTGGCAGAAGAAGCTGCAGTGGCTGCATGTGGACCATAATCAGCTGGTGAGCACAGCTGGGCTGAGCGAGCTTCCTCGGCTGCTGCACTTGAACTGCTCACACAACCAGCTCTCCTCGCTGGAGGGCATACGGGACTGCGCATTGCTCCGCACGGTGCACGCGCGGGGCAACAACCTCACCCAGGTTAGCAGGGAGACTGTACGTCGCGGCAGTTCTGAAAGGTGCCTGTGGTTGTCAAGTCAATTGCTCACTATACCTAAACTGGTGGTACCAGCAAGCATCAAGATAAAAGCATTGCTTTCATGTAATTGCTGGTAGTTAAATGGCAATATGCGCAATTCTTTTCATGAGACAATCACTGCTGATTTCCCACGAAGTGATACTGTTATTGACCATTGGGATGATGATGGGATGGAAATTGGAATTATATTATTTCAACTGGCAATCTTAGGATTATATTTAAATGTACACAAAGGTGTGTGTGTAGGCATTGCATGTACAAAAGTTATCAGCCTTATTCAGACCTCCAATTCAAAATAACTGACGTTGGTATGAATGACAAAATGGCAACACATTCAGTTATTTTGAGCTGGTGGTCTGGATAAAGCTAAGACCTTTTGTACATGCACTGCACGTCTTTGTATATTGGTAAATACATTTGATTTCAGCCTGCATTTTTCTGCTGTGATGGGTTATCTCCTAATTCACATATTTGAATTATTCCTATAATCATGAGTTGAGCACTCATCACAATGCACCAAAGCTGAACGTTTGTGAAGATATCGTAAAAAAACGTCAAGTAAAAATAAGCTTTATATAAAGTAAGCAAGTTTCAAACAAACTATGAAATGTTAATTATATATCTTAGCACATTTATATTTTGCTAGCGGACAGTTCTATAGCAGGCATATCTCTCTTGATACACGGTTGGTCCCCCTCCAACCAGTCACAGATGTAACATATATGAAAAACCTTAAATCATGACAACGCACGGACACACATCATACAACCCATGAACATATTGTAAACCTATTTCCGCCAATTGTTTTACCCGTGCTAACAAAAGTACTACACATGAATATTGAACTGCTGTATGGAACTTGCTCACTTTAAAGCTTGTGAATGCAAATGTGTTTCTCGCATTTGTGCAGATCCCTCCACTACGGAACCAGGTGCTCTTGAGCGAACTGTACCTGGATGACAACGGCATCAGCTCCTTGCAGACACTGGGCTCCAGCTGGCTTCCTCACCTCCGCATACTCTCCTTGTCCCAGAACGGGTGTGTAATTTTTTATTGAAAGCTTTCGTGACTGCAAGGATTCATTTTCTTTGGTTCGTTCGGTAAAGTCACGTAGAATGAGAATACAATAATAAATTAATAAAATAACACAATAAAATTCTCAATACAATTCTCACGACGTTTCTCGAGGACAGCGCTGTCCTCCAGACAGTCTCGTCCCTTCACCTGATGAAGGCCGCTTGTGTTGTGGCCGAAACGTCGTGAGAATTTTATTGTGTTATTTTGTTAATTTATTATTGTATTCTCATTCTACGTGACTTTACCGAAATAACCAAAGAAGGGTGTGTAATTATTTATGTTGAAGAAAAAAAAAAATCCCTCCACTTATTTCAAGATGTGTGTGGGTAGCTTCCCCACGATCTTGGGTTTGTATGTGTGTAGTCACTCACTATTGGAAGGTTGCGAGCTCAAATCTTGGTCACGGCTTGGCTCTAGCCATCACCTCCCACGGGCTGATAAAACCAATAACTTCGTGTGGGAAACCATGACTGGCCCCACAATGCAAGTATGAAATTTGAACAGAATTGAGAACCATTACATGCTAATTTTAGGAGACGGACACTATGACTTATAACTTTAAATAATGTAAACAACTTTGTTCTGTACTGGGGGAGGTCCAGGATTATGTTCAGATATATATATTATCACAGAGTGTTGTACATGTCCAGGACTGAAACTCAGGCGACTGGGATGGTAGCCCAGTACATTGACCATTACTGCCTTGCTCCTCATTTTTAAACTTCGTTCACACAATCACATATGGTACAACGGCACAATATTTAAGTTAAATAGATGAACATTGCTATACCATGAATGTACTATCACATTTCAAATATGTACAGTGTGTTTGCTCTATAGGTAATGCGGCTTTTATTTTGGCATTTAAAAAAAGAGTAGTTGCCTTATATTTCTTTCAAAAGGTTTTTTAAATTTTATTTAAAATATAATTGAATTTTAAAACTTGCTGCATATTTGCTTCTTTTCTTTTCAAGGCTCTCGGATTTGTGTCCATTCAATATGTTTATTTCCCTGGAGAAACTCTGCATCAGTAACAACTGTGTAACTGGTAAGTGGCCACACTTGAAGGCAGTACTCTTTGATCCACGGTATGAGAAACACCAGACCTGCATCAGTCGCACTCCTTTCCAGAGCTAGTCTGGATTTTATTGGCAGTCCACCACATGCTGAAATATCAGGACTCTACTGGGTTCTTTGAGGCTTTTTAAAAATCAAATTATGAGTTTGTGTCATTGCAAATTAATTCTAGAATTTGTGCCATTGTACCTTCGGGTATGCACTGGTAATTGTGGGTAATGACTTTTCAAGAAATATCAGATAGCTGAAATGTTGTGTATAGTACTTCAAATCATTAAAATTGTTTCCTTGCTCAAATAAGCAAAAGGCAGTACTCATGTCCATTGGTAGCCCATTGCCAGCAGTGAAAACGCCACATGAACCTTAAGGCGGTACCCCGGGGTACCATAGTACCCCGTCTCTCGCATAATGTCCGTGATGCAGTAATTTTTAGTCTGTTGATGCTCGGCGATGCGGAAATCGACTCATCTCGACGAGCTGTACTCACGATGCACCACTGCGGTGCGTACGAGCGTTAAGGGTTTCGGAGCAATCGTCCTCGCTGTGTTTTGACATCGTCAATTAGCACTGATTTCGGATTGATTGGTACCTCAGTCGCAGGGTTAAGTACACCCCTGGAAAAAAAATAGTGTCCCAGAAATTAAATATTTAATTGCCTCGGCTAGTTTGCATTATTTGGTACCCCGGGGTACCGCCATAAGGGTCAAATGCCGATTAGGGCAGGGACCAGTCTTTCTGTGCTTCATTTAATGTTGCTCGAGAAACAATAATTGTCTTTCTTGTGCCCTAGGAAAGCTCCCGTGTGTTTCAAGCGCTAATAGAGGCGAGGATTGTTTTGGCAAATTCCTTTTCGTGATTATTTTTTGTTGTGGAAAGGAAACCAGAGAAAACCATGCTTGTATGAACAACTGTCAATAACAATGGCCTATAAGGAAAACACATACAATCGGCAACGTTTCAAGAAATGTAATTTTTTATAGCACAGCGAGACTCTAACATCTCTCTGCTCTGAAAGTCCATTACCCAAAATGTAACCTCTGAAATATATATTCTTTTTTACTTTTAGGGCAGTGTTATTGACAAATGTGCTGATAATGTTATTTATACCTTCAACGTTTCCAGTTCGGAAATCTACCCACAGTTCAGGCTGCAGGTGTGTCTATTGCACGTCAGCTATATATTTGTATCATCCACCACCTCCGTTTCCAAATCACTATATCATAGATGTAGCCACCATACCCAGCAGTCAATCAATACCTGTCCTTAATTTAACTAGTTTAAATCCCATTGAGATAAATGACATTTTGCAAGGCATGCCTGGATAAACCACAGTTATGCATCACGGTTCTAAGCGACATTTGACATTTAGCTTGTGTGGGTAATGCAAACTGTTGGGATTTTGGCTATGACACGTAGGCATGCATACTGGCAGGATATTTCACGCAAAATAAGACTCGACTTAGACACACGTGTGTGTCGGCCACTTAAGCCTTGAACTGAGCGATGACAGTCACGTTGGTTGAAACGTATAGGCTTGAATGTAAAGGCAGAAATAGACATTGTGGTATTAAATATGCTTGTGAGGCTGTGCTGGAAAGTGTCAAACAATTCATTCAACTCGGTAGCATTATTACCATGCAGAAAAATGATGATTGCTTTTGAAAGACAATACTAAGTTACTGGAAGCATTTTAATTAAGGCTTTAAATAAGTCTGATTGATATTTCATGCACAGGGTGGTGCTCATCTATTTTTTTAAAGTCCTGAGCCCCTGGTGGAAATGTCTCAGTTGGCTTGTCTCTGGGCTAACCAACACTGTTGACTTTAAACAAACTTGTGCTTATTTGTATTGACCGCTGGGTAATGATGGCCATGGTAAAATGAGTCCTTAAGTAGGCACATGTAGCTTTCAGCTACATATAATAAATCACACCTCTTTATACGCGATGCAAAAAAAAAATCTAATAACTGGACTGCTTCATTCCATCCCGCTGTATATGTATCCAGTCCAAATGTCATAGCAGGTGATATGCACTAGTTGAAAAGTTTCCTCTGGTACGTCGCTTTTTTATTTTTTATAAAAGCACTTCAACTCACTCACCCCTCTATTTAATATCGTTCATCACAGTCCATTTTCAACAATTGTGTCTTTCCCACGGGTGTCTTCAATTGTCTAGAAAAGTTATTTGTATATGTATTTTTTTACTTATTTATCTTGAGCAACACAAATAGATGCAAAAAAGTAACATGTGGAGACATATGACGAATGCTGCGAATTAGAGACAGCCTGCATAAGATGGCTTCCTGCAGGGTAGGGATAACCTGTCACAGCTGTAAAGAATGTATATTTTGACATTTATTGCAGAATTCTATCATTATCCCCTTGTATACATGGTTTTTCTCCGGGCTCTCCAGTTTCTACCCATACAAAAAATACTCAAACATTCCAAGGCACAGCCATTCTTATAATTCATAATTAGGCCATTTTACGTTTTCAGTCAGTATTTGGCTGTCTATAACGCCTGGAATGGATGAAATTCCAAACCACGGAAGCAGCATAAGAGAAGGCGTGATCACCTATAATAAGATTGACAGGCAGTCAACATTTCATCCACAGCACTGAGCTTCTAAAGTTCCTCTTAGCCAAACTGCTGTAATGCAATAATTACTCTACACACGATGAATGAAATATAAATGAATGAATGATACTCTCGTGGGAGCAGACCACACACTATAGCTGCTATTATTTCTGGTGGTGTAGCTGTGCAGGGCAATTATGAGCCACGAAAAGCATAACTCGACCAATAATAATAATAATAATGTGGTGTTTCAGTGTCGGTATACAACATGAAATTCATACAAACATTAATTAAATTCAAATATAGAGTTCCCAGCTTGGCTATTCACTTAATTCACATGCAACACATTGGTCGAACAAATACAAACTCTTCCAGGTCGAATGCATTATCTTCCTAATACTTGCTGGCACGTGTTTTCAGTCATCGATTCTTACCTTCTGGTACATTTATAGCTCGCATATATGTCCCGTTAACTCTTTGGATTTTTCATATCTGTGAAATTTCACTCTATTCACCAATAGATTCCCACGAAGAAAGCATTTTGATTCAAAGCCAAACTGAAAATGTATTTTAAAAATAGCCATGCAGAAAATGGAGAATTCAATTATCCTGACCTTTTGGACTTGAGTGTGAGATTTTGACGCTCTGGAAAATACACAGGCTCCATTCATCATATTTTTAGTTGAAATTCAGAATGTGCAACAAGAATGCCGTTATTACGCATCCCATGCTTTTGAAAGGGTACGAGAACATATGCCCATCTTTGATAATGTTGCACACACAGGGCACCGCAGATAATCCCTAATGTACCGCAACAGTGAGGTAATGATTTTCAAGAGAAGTGCGAAAGACATTGATTAATTGAGACCTCTTCTACCTTTCACCACGCGTCTGGCCTTTGCATGGGAACTGTTGTGCAAGAAACAGCAGCTGTTTCATCTCTACAAATGAACCTGGACAAAGTGGAGTGTTTTTTTTAAGCCGGCAGTCTTTTATGGGCAATTGAAGTCTCTTTGTTCTTTGACCACAAGTTGTGTTGCGCAACCGTTGGTACCGCGTTGCAGTATTGCATGGCCCCTTAAACTGCGATTTGACACAAAACACTCCAGCACAAAATATGCACTGGAGTGCATGTTGTCATAATTTGGGTAAATCTTTGTGCCACCGTGTGCTCGAGTACCATGTTTGACTGTGAGAAGTTGGCATGGGTCCATCCCTTTATCATGAAATCATGTGCAATTCTAATGTTCAAAAGATGTAGCCTATGTGGTTCAAAGCCATTTTATTTCTCAGTTGGTAGTACAGCAGTGACCAGTTGTATAAAACAACTTCTATGGATTTCCCCCACTATTTTTAAACAGGATAAGTTAAAGAAAAATAATAATCATCATTAATACAGAATTGAAGCTTTCGTGACTGCATAAATGACTATACTCTTTGGTTTTTTCGGTAAAGTCACGTATGTAGAAAATTATATTAAAATAATAATAAATCACGATGTTTCGAACGCAGCACAAGCGATCATCATCAGGTGTAAAACAAATCGTGAGGGAGCACATAGGGGGACATCACGTACATAGCACATAGAGAACGTTAAACTGTACGGAGGCAAATATTGATTGGGTAGCACACTTGGTGTGTTGTTACTCTGGTTGTCCATCTGTGCTGCCCAATATATCTTTCCTTGGATGTTCTTTCCTATGTATGTATCTCTGCTACCTTGTACCTCGTATTTGTTCACTGTCTATGCTGGTTTATTCAACCCAGAGGATGAACACGAAATTTAGCAGTCTTCTGAAATTCGTGGTTAGCCAGGTCAGTGTCTAACTGTGTCGTTGGCCGACTGGTTTTGCATCGCGTTATTTTTCTTAGGTTTGTTGAGGTCTCGTCTCTCATCTTCTTGTTGTATTTACCTCCGTACAGTTTAACGTTCGCTATGTGCTATGTACGTGATGTCCCCCTATGTGCTCCCTCACGATTTGTTTTACACCTGATGATGGTCGCTTGTGTTGCGTTCGAAACGTCGTGATTGATTATTATTTTAATATAATTTTCTACATACGTGACTTTACCGAAAAAACAATGAGTATAATAATCATCATGTGTGATGTTTTATGCAGCTGATCAGTGTGCCCAGAGTTCAATTAGAATCGGAGTTCAATAGCCAAACAAACCATCATCCGTCTTTGGTGGCTAGTATGAACACACCTTTATGGGAAGGCAGCAGTCGTTATCCCACGGAGTGACTGATCCCTGTCATAGGGACATGCCATTTCTACCATTAACTCAGGACCACTAACACAGATAAAGCACCACTCAACACTCATTTGAGATTGGAAAAAAAAACTTGACTTTGTACACGATCTTGCCACACTATATCTCAAAAGTTCCAAACAAACATTAATAATAATTGGTCCAAAATCTTCCATTATTCATGAAATGTAAATATTCTGTATTAATGTCTCCATTTTTGACAAGCCTTACTGGTTACCCAGTAACTCGGCTATGTTTTTCAATGGACGAAAGGACTATTATATTGCAAAATACAAGCACAATTATTTCTACTCCCAAGTGTGCTCTCAAGTTGAAAATTTCCTTAAAATTTAAAGTGCACAGCATTCCAAAAATAAATTTAATTTATCACCTCCCAGAAGAAAATTATACAGAGTGACATATATGGGCTTTTCCATCTATAATTTTCTAATATGGATATTGCCAATTAAAGCATATATATTTATTGTTTTTACAGCAGTTTTCATTATGTGTTTTCTTTTCAAACTTAATGAATAGAGTATGTGTGAGGTTAGACAAGTCGAGGTGTGAATTACTCATGACAGATGCCACATGTGAATAACCCCCTTTGATACATTCTAAAAAGCAAAGTATTGCAACGTAAAATAATGTTCTGACAATACCATATCTTTATTCAGTAGTACATATTTTATTATATCACACACAATTGCAATGTGTTTTTCTGGTAATGTATAGTGAAGGGTGATCATGGTTACATATAGTTTTGAGATGTGGTTGCATTATATTGTATTGTACGGGGACTGCATTTACTAGGATCACATTGCAGTCACCCTTTCCTGTTCCAAGATGTATGCAAGCTGCAGGGTGGGTCTCATTCACCGCTGAATCTCTGAAAGTGCAAGCGGTTCAGCGTTAATTTTATTTACAGCGGCATAGCACTATTGTTTTTAAAGACATTGTACTCACCGCAGAGAACTGTAGCAACACGACCGCACTCTACGATAGCTGGCGCCAAACTGTGCGACACCCTCCCGCATGATCTTGTTGGAGGGGGAGGGAGTCAGTGCACTCACTCCTAGGCTAGTTCACAGAAAGCTGAGTTTCATTCCCATTCCCACCTCGAACTTTTCACATGCATTGACCAAGCATCTGCAGTACTTTGTTGCTTATCTGATGGTCGCATATCTGCCTTGTCCGATTAACCACCCACACCCACTGCAGTATTCGTGCAGGTGTAACTGGCATGTTTTTAAAGGTTCACAAATCTGACCTTTTCATATGCATGTATGTTGAACTTCTTTCGCACCGTACGTAGCCTACCATGATAATCAGAGGTGCAGGGGAAGGACAGCATTCTAAACACAAAAAGCAGTTCTAAGATAAATTAGTTTTCAATCCCCAGCAAGTAGGACATATACGTGTTTTTATATAAAGTGGGTGCTAATCCCCAGTTAAATAATTCACCAGAATAGACCATTGTGTGCTGATGCTCTAGACTGAAAATGTAAAAATATATATATAATTTAGTCAGCACAAACCTGTACTCCAGCAATTTGGAGGCTGGTTGGTGATTTATGCAGAGATAATATGCATACAACAGCGACCTGCAGGGCAGTAATGTGCCAGCAAAAGCAGTACATGAAGTAGGTTGTAAATGTATTTGTCCAGAGTTTGTAAGTTCCTCCTTTGCATTCGTTTTCCTGGCCACTCCTGTTTCGAAACAAAATCAAGAGGCAATCTGTAAATATCTTAAACTAACCTTTCCTTATCGATGGGGATTTGTATTAGCAAGTTATTAATATCATACAAAAACCTCAGCTCGCACTAGTCAATAAAACCTAAATATAAACCTTAATTCTTTATCGCCACAAAAATAAAACATGTAATTCAGCCTAGTGGCCTATATTGGCCTTCCAGATCTACTTTATCCAGTAGCCACGGTTTTGCTTTTCTGGGGCTCACCAGCATAGTCAGGAATGCTTAACAGATGCTGCTGGTTTACCAGGTGTTATTGGTAAGGGGCCATCCATTTAGTACGTACGCATGGAGAGGGGTTAACCCAAATGCGTACGCTTGTGTAGTGTTGACCATGGAGACACACTTAAACCGCGGATATACACAACTCCATACCGCGATTCGCAAATCGGTATGCCGAAGGAAAACCGTGGATACACAAACACACCGTGGGTGCGAAAAAAACGCAGTTGGTGAGGGATTGCTGTACTGTACATATATTGCACCCATTTAAATGTAACTGGAGGAAGTACCCATTGCTGAGTGACGGCTCACCCCCTACATCCCCATCTCCCCACCCCCAGGTGCCCCCCCACCCCGTCCCCCCTCGTGTGCCGTGCGTGACAACTAGGGGCTGAACGATTTGGGGAAAATGTCTAATTGCGATTTTTCTGACAGATATTGCGATTGCATTTTTAAAAGTCAAGCTTCAGTTCAATATTCACTGTGTAATAGATGTAAAACAGGTGATGGAGCATTACCACGTGATACCATCAAAATATGAACTGCTCTATATATTTTCTAATGCAAGGATGGGAACTTAAAATATATTAATTGCTTCCAACATGTATTTATTAAAATGTTTTCATTGAAATAGAACAATCCAACATAGAACAATTGTTAGGGTAAAAAAATCAAGTTACAATAATACAAAATAAAGCAATTCCAATAAGAAAGTAATAGGACTTTTCAAATCGCAAAAAATCGCAGCCTTTGCGATTTGCTAATCGCATTGTTTCAAATTGTGATTAATCGATTTGAAATCGATTATTAATCGTTCAGCCCTCGTGACAACCCCCCGGCGCTCGCCTCCCGCAGCCCCTCAGTTGCACACCCCTCTCCCACCCCCCCCGAGTAACCGCCCCTCCCCTTGCCTGCCCCCACCTCCGGCCCCCACCTTGCCCCGTGCGTCCCCCCCCCCTCTGCTCAGCCCCACGTGCTGGGCACGCATGGGCATTGCTCGAGTGCCGGGATAGCCGCGTGCTGAGCCCCTCCTGACGTCTTCGCGCGGGGAGGGAGCCAATGACAAGGCGCGCTGGGCGGCGCGTGCGTGACCTCCAGCCAATGAAAACGCTGGGGGGTCGAGCGAAGGCACACCATGGAAAATTTAATTATAGAGATGGATGCAGGCCCACAAGTGACCACAGCCTATGGGCAAGGACACATTGCCGAACATGCTTTTGAGTCACTAGTCACGCCTATTGATGTCTGGTGACCTGCTGATAATGCGGACAGTGCCCATTATACCTACATCAGACAGAGTGTAGTCTTGTGAATTTATGTGAACATGTGGACTTATACATCCAAATTCCAGTTTGTCCATACAAGCCAACATGCAATTGATTGTCGAAAAGTTACAACACTAATTCTTAAAATTAGTACATCAGCCATTAGGTTGTTCAGTATTTACCATTAACTGGCTCTTTATACTGACGCACAGTTTATTATTACTTGAGTTAATGATTAGAAAAAAGTCCTATTTTCCATTGAATAACTCCGTAGCTGCTCATTTACTTTTTGAAGGCAATATTGACTGTGATTTTTACACTCTTAATATAGCTGGTTGACTGGTTATGAATTTCGCAAGTTCAAATCCCATTCGGGGCTAACTTAACCTATCATCCCTCTAACGGCAATAAAATAAGTACCACTTGGTTGAAAGTCAACAGTGGCTATCCTATGGAGAGACTGATTATAGCTATAGGAATGTCTTATTTTTTTATCTGCTATATGTATGTATGTAATCTTTTTCCATCACTGGCTCAGAGCCACTAACAGAAATGAGCACGCTTACCTGGGCATGGACCATAGAGACACTTATATTCTTGGTTCTTACGGTAAAGTCACGTTGAAGGGAAACAATAAAGTAATAATATATATAAAACAATACATTTTATTGTTTCCCTTCAACGTGACTTTACCGAAAGAACCAAGAATATGAATCACTGCAGTCACGAAAGCTTTCAATTATAGAGACACTTGCTTATTTGAGAATGGGAACGGTCTGACTCGTAACAATCATCCTAACAACACAGCCATCTATTGAACAGCTGCCCACTGTGCTCATTCCTTGGAAACATTTCTTAAAAATTCACTCCGCGTCTCCCAATGCTCTTGACTTGGTATCAGAACTTAACATTACACCGTAACCTTGTTGCTGTTTCTCCATACGACAATAGACACCCCTGTAACACAGTTGCATATTTTTCTCTCGCTTTCTTTCTGCAAAAAACAAAAGATCTTCCAGCTTTATTGGAGTGTCTGGCCGGCTGCCTAAGCCTGCATGAGATAACTCTGGATGGAAACCCCATGCAAAACCACTCAGACTGGAGGTAAGCTATGCCCAAGGAGCACTTTACTCATGCGTTTGCATAGGAGGGGTTATGGGGTAGATTGTTGCATGTCTCGATTGAGTAAGCACTCACGCACTGGGAGGCCAATTAGGATCGTCTCCAAGGGATGCAATTGGTTTGGTGACTGCAATGAACAAGCTGTGTGGGTCAGTGGAAGGCCTCCCTCCCCACCCATTAAATTCATTAACCTCCTACCGGCAGGGAGAATTAACACTGGGCTGTGAACACATGATCCTTTGACATGAGCGATTAAAGCAAGCTGCACGTTTTTGCTGGACTTTGCAGGAAAACTGTCAAATATTATTCTGAGACTCTTTATAAAGTGTGATACATCTCCCATTGTCTCCGGAATCTATGGAATTGCTTCCGTCTGTATATTCGCGGATTCTTCAACTTCGTGTCTGCCTGTGTACGTGTAAAGGAATATAAGTTTCAAAATATTTGCATACATTTTGCTTGCATTTATGTTTCAAGCCACTGCATCATGGCAGAGGAATTACAGTTTTGACCCATTTTAAGTACTGAGGCTAAGTACTGATGCTTAAAGGTGAACGTTTGTAAAACAATGTCGAGGGCATTGGTGAGGAAATGGGCTACTGCATTTCCATGATTGGTGTCATAGGTGGCAATAAGAAGGTACAATTTGACGATACTCGAGGAGCTGGTGAATATCGACATTAATTTGCATAATTCAAAGGGTTGTGAGAAGAATGTCAAGAGTAAATATTCCAAACCTTTGTGTTCAAAGATTACTGTACGCGTTAGAGGGCAGCCCTAAAACAGAAAGGAATCTTTTGGCCTTTGAGAATAAGTGCATGTGGAGGATGTGATAATTTATTGGCGGAACAGAGTAAGCAACTTGGAAGTTCTTGAATGGAATGTAGCAGGAGAGCACTGTGGATGTAATAAAATTAGATATTTTAGAGTATTTGGCTACTATACATTTCCACGTGATAAGCCACTTTGTTGAGCTATAATTTGTGGCTAGGTCGTTTCTGAAAAAGAGCTTTATAATTCAGTGGGTCTTACCTGGTGAAATAAAAATAGTTTATTTACTTCATAGTTTTAGGTGCTACAAAAGATAAATATTTATTTCACATTTGTGATATAATTAGTCGTAAGGTATTCAGTCAAAGTGTTTCTCCACTCAAACAAGCATAGGACAATGCTCATCTTTCCGATATTGGCTCCAGTCAGTGATGGAAATTTCACAATCATTACCCCGACTGAGATGTGAACTCTCATGAGATGTGTGCTATTGCCACAGCAGCACCCATTCAGTTCCAAAAATAAATAGTATATTTCGTGTTTTATTTTATTCATGGTATGTGTACACAATCAGAATGAGAATAGAAAAGGTGAGCCCTGCTCTGCGCATACTGGATGGCCAGACGGTCATAAGCGTGGACAAGAGGAGCCAAACTCCACCAGCTTTCTCCAGCCTCTGCCAGGCCCAACTGGAAGAGTTTCAGCACTTGTCCCAAGGGCACATGACCACAGCACTCGCGTAAGTTCATCATCATCAATCATTGTCACAATACTACATGTATTTAATTAATAATGCAGGAAACTGTAGTCAGGGTTTTAACAAGTCAATGTTTCTACGTTCGGATCAGCGTGGGTCAGCACCCATCTTGTTGGGGGCCCTCTAAGCCATTGGTGGTAATTCTGCATATCCCATGGTGGGGAGACACGTCAGACTCGTTTCAAGCCAATCTCTGGCTTCCTATAAACTATAAAGTGATGCTCGAGTCATTGATACTTGAGGGATTTTAACCCATGACCTTCCGATTGCGAGATGGGTGCTCTGCTACAGTGCCACTTGGTTAAATATAACAATAAATGCATCAAAGGGCAGTCTCATCTGTATGTTTTTTTTTGTATGAGCACCATTCTGTGAAGTCAACAGTGGCTGTGTTTTTGGATTTATTAATTGATATTATTACCATTTGCTGCATGTCTACTTTACTATGGCTTTCATGTTAAGAGTTACAAATTCCCATAACTAAATGGTGTCGATTCATTTCTATTGCAGGCAACTAAAGACCATGGAGCGGGCACCAAATGTTGTGGATGTAATTTCCAAGCAGCTTTGGGAGGCGTCTAGGCTAGCAGAAGAGCATCGCTATGCTCAGGAATACGGAGAGATGGTCAGCCTTTCAATAGAACCCACAGTCGACAATGTTCAAACTGAAAATCGCACCTCCAGTGCAAAGCTATCGCCCGCACAGAGTCAGGAGACGAATGGTGAGCCTTCCAGCATTGCAGTGCTCACGCAGCAGCTTTCACCGAATCTTGAAAACACGTGTCCACCGAAAACAGCAGGCGGTTCAATCACCGATGCCCGTCTGCGTGAAACCGGCCCAGGTTTCGCACGCGATGAAGGTGAAAGCGGAGCTCATTCCCCGGCCGCTGGGAGAAATGCGGATGGGTCAGGTTCACAGCGACGGGAAACGGAGTCCCAAAAGAGTCAACAGAGGGAGCTGTCGCTGCAAGTCGACGGAAGGCAGAGGCAGAGGACCGCAGGCGCTGTTGCTTATGGCCAGCAGAGGGAAACAAGTGAAGAGGTTTGCGGGCCAGTTTCGAGGCAGCCGAAGGCTTCTGCCACCACTCGGGTGGCTGTGAAAGCCAGCCATGTTGGCAACTTGCTGGGGAAGGCAAAACAAAGCACTTTGGCCGAGTGAGTGTTTTCAGGTTTTTTTATTTCTACTTTTATGATTTTTTTTTTGAGATCGGAAACTCCGCGGTAGCAGCTTTCCTATGCTAAGTTCCTGCTGGGCATTTAGCCGTATTGCGTCTAATGTTGTCATAGTCATGCGGGTGTTATTTTCTGCATTGAAACATGAATTATTGGTGTAATAAAGTCTTCTGGTCACTAAATTTCGCATGAATTGACCATTTAATGAACCTCAAAATTTCAAAATACATTCTGTTCTTACTCATTTGTTTTGGTGTATACTTATATTAGTTTTGTTGTATTCACTTACATACGAAATGTGTCGTGTAAGTTATTAAATGATTTCAATAATTGCCTTGATCTATTTGACACATCGATACTGTGATGTAAAGAAACAGCCGGAATATTTGTTTTGGCTCATGAACTATTTTTGCCAATAATTTTTCTCAATTCAGAAACATAGTTTTACATTTGCTATTACATATTTTTGTTTTAATATACGGTTTATAAAATCGTTATGCTATAATTATGATTTTTTTTATTATTGTTCAGGAATAACAAAAGTGAAACGTCAAATAATTCCTGGAAAGTTTTGTATATTTTATGCATTTACATCCTGTGGTGCTTTACATTATAGATGGTAAAATTACATATCTCAATATTGTAAGGTTAAAATAAAGTAACGTTTTGGATAATCTCTCATAGGTATTGTTTTTTGGCAAATAATGTAATGATAAAGTAATTACCTATCTTTCGCTTTCAAAACTTTCCCATAAAAAATGTGAAGTATACCTAGATGCAATCATATGCAAAATAGACAGAATTACGTGTGTTTCGTTTCTAATAATACCATATATAAAACCGATATCTTACCAAAGAGACACCTGTCAAATGTTTTTTTTTCTTTTCCCACAGTTAAATGAATTAGATACTGTGTTCAGTCCTTAATGCACATTTAATTTTCTTGAAGATTAAAATGTTGTTTTAAAGGCATATTCTTAATTTTAAATCACAATTGTAAGTAGAGTTATGTGTAGTTGTGTGTGTATATATATACAATCAAGTGCTGTATTTTATAGTTAGTAATAAAAATTATTATCCAGGTAGCTCTACAATTTATATACGAAATATTTGTTTGCGTTTATGGAATTTAAGTATGATATGTTCGTGTTACATGTCTATTGGCGCATTCTAAGTTTATATACAAACAAACTTGTACAATATGTATATTATTTGCTGCTTAAACATTAAGTTATTATTAAGTTAAATTATCCCCCTGATAAAATGGATATTGGGTTCGTGCTCTCTGCTGCTGGCCATGAGAGATTATTTGAAATTCCACATTGCTGTGCCAGCAGCCAGTCTCAACATTAGAGTGATTAAGAGCAGATTCAACTCCCAACCAGGATTTGTATGCGCAGCCTTCACATACAGTACACAGTCTGTTACCTTTAACTCACTAAATACACCATGGGGAAAACATGAGCAAACATATTAAACTAAATTACTCAAAATTCGGCTCTCGATTGTTACTGAAGTCTCTCCCACGTTCTTGTTGTCAGCCCGTAACTTCCCACTGCTGGGCAACGGCCTCCCCGATTCTCTTCCATTCATTCTTTCCCTTCGTTGTTGCGCCCATCCTCGTCGTGGCCTCCGAACTCTGATGTCGTCGCGCTGCTGCCACTGCTGCTGTCTCTTCCGCTCTCTTCCATGGATTTTTGCCTTGCCTTGGGGTTCAACTCGCACATTTAAGGCAGCTTTTATTTAGCAAGCCTGACTCTGCTGATGAGACCCAGTAGGTCGAAAGCAATCCACAGTTTGCTTTCCCAACCACTGTGCTTGGTAATTTTGCTCTACCAAGCCAATACAGTAGGCTGATGGACGACATAGTATTTTTACTTGCACGTCAAGACACGGAACAGCGTCTGTTTATAACCCGCGATGTGCCACAATGAGACACAAGCGAGCTTATGTACATGTAAACAAAAGTTGTAAGGGAGTGAAACTTGTGGGTATTAAACTTGTCGAGTTAACTTTGAGCTCTGCTTCTTGTGCTCATAATGCTCCACAGCAACGCCTCATGAGTTTTGCGTTGGATGTTTCTACTCTGAACAGCGAACGGCCTCGCGTAACACTGTGCCCTGGCGCCCCCAAAAACACCGTCTCGATCTTTCCCTCCCTCCTCCCCCAACCCCCCCTGCGCAGCTTCGCGGCCACGGCCGTGCAGGCGCACTGGCGGGGCTACCATCTCCGCCGGGAGCTGCGGCGCCGGCAGGCGGCTGCCTCGCTCATCCAGGCCTCGTGGAGGGCACGGAGGGTCAGGAGGGCCCTGGCTCAGTGCGCCCTGGCAGCCACGGTCACGGCCACTACACGATCTCGGCCAGCCACCCTGACTCCCCCCGTGCGTACATCCCAGCGGGAGGCGGCGGCAACAGCAGGGCAGAGGAGGCAACGTGGAGCCACTGTCATACAGGTAGGTCTACAACGCCCCCACGTTATTATTTGTTATCATGGTTGCGGAGTGCGGGCTCGATGGCCCAAAATGCTGAGTGGTCAGCAACAGACAGCACTCTTCAAGTTGAATAGATAAGCGTTAATATCCATATTAGAGGTTTTTTTTGGGTCACAACATTTACAATGTGGCTTGGCTCTCCAACACCCCGGTGTGCTGTACTAGTGACGAATTGGCACGTTCTGTTTACGTGACAACCCTTACTAGTTGGCTGTGTCGGGTGGTGGCGGGTTGTAACGACACATTTATATATTTACGCGATCTAACCCAAAAAAACCCTCTTATGGATGATATTGGTCGCGAAAGCTTACGTGTTAAAGCGTTAATGTTTCTTTATTTTGAGCAAACTTTGATAAGAACTTGCCAAAATAAACTATGAGATGTAATTCCAAAGCAGAGCAGTGCAATGGAAGAAGCAGACAGAAGCGTTTTGGGCCTGCATTGTGGTGGTTAAGCACAGCCCGGCTGGGATGAACAATCAATCTGATAGACCTGAGTCCTCAATATGGGTGGAAAAATCAACGTGTGAAGTTCACAGGAACCATGGCAGTCGCGAGAGAAGAGTCGTAAGATGTTGCCCTGTTTTAGACATCAGTACCGCCCTCTTGTAAGCGATGTGCATGCCCATAATTGTCCTTTTTTTGGGTACTTGGAACGATCATAGACCTGAGTTTAAACACAAATAAGCAAAGAGTCAGCACACTATACATGTTTATATGTTTTCTGTTTAAAGGCAATGCAAATGATTAGTGTGGTGATTTTATTTGTGTTTGTACACCACTGCTAGTGCATTGCCTTGTGTTTTTTGTTTAATATGTAAGTGTAACATGTTTGTTGTTGTTGAGGATTATTGTGTTAAAACGTCCCTTAAATAGTAATTCGCCAAATATCTCAGTGTAACATCATCCGGAAAAAAATAGTCTAGAGACTCGACGATGGTTTCTTGAATCAACAAATGACGACATAAATGACATTACCCATCCAGTTAGAGCGCCGGGCTCGCAATCGGGTGGGTACGAGTTAAAGAGTACGATCCAGGGGTCGGCTCAGTCGGTCATTCCTCCGGGTTTGATCAAATCAGTACCATTTAATGGGAAGCCAACAGAGCTTGTTGGCATACAGTTATTTGATGTTTGCTCCTGCCATAGGAATGTGGCATTAGCGCTTCTGGCTCGAGGCTGCCAACAGAGACGCTTGTTTGAGGAGGGAAACACTTTGCCTTTGTATTGCCGTGTTATATTCAAACATCCATTGCAGAAATAAATAAGGGCACACAACCTCATATATACAGACGTAACAACAATAGTAAAAAAATGTCAACAACTGTGTAAAAAGTAAAAGCCGGTAGGTTCGGAGTGCAATGGGCAAACCGTCGCGTTTCAACTCCACTTTTATTAAAAATGTAAGAATATAGGCACACAAAATAAATTGTGTACAATTTTATTAATTTAAATGTGTACATGCAGGTTTATATATATAAGTCTGCTGTCCTGCATATTTGCCAAGGCAAAATATTGATCTTGAAGGCCAGTTAGCCAAATGGTTATTTTTTTTCCTTTCAGAAAACAAACTCAGATTTTTTTTTTCGTGAGATATATACATATGTTTTCTAAAGAAGACCACCTGGCTAAAACGTCAAGATCTCCTTTTCTTCCCAGTGAGCAAAACGTATTCCTGTTTTTGGTTAAACCTGATCAAATACATACATAGATATTTAGGCACATAAACCACATGCGCACACACACACACACAAATAAAAAATATATCCCGTATAGCTTTAAAAAACTACTGGGGCAAGTGCTGTTTGCGAGCACCTCTGAAGGCCGGCACGGCACACGAGGGGTTGTGTGGCTAACATCACGTCCGCCTTTGTCTCCCCAGTGGCAATATTTACACACAACACCAGGTATTCATTTGCTGGCTGAGTCGACTTATGGGAGGCCCAGGACCGGTTCAAATTATCTTCACTGACGTCGGCCGTGAGTGGGAATTGAACTCGAGACGCTGGGCTTGTAGCACAACGTACTAACCGCTGCTCCACTGCTCCCTACACATATATACAAAGACAAAGCTCCCCCGTATAGTCTTAACAGACTGTTTGGGCAAGTGCTGTTAGTGAGCACCTATGAAGGCCGACACAGCACACGAGCGGGTCAACACCACGCCTGGCCGCCTTTGTCTCCCTTGGAGCAATATTTACACACTGCACCAGGTACTATCTTAGGCTGAGTCGACCTAGGGGAGGCCCAGGACCGGTTCTGATAATCGTCACTGGTGTTGGCCGTGAGTGGGAATCGAACTCGGGTCGCCGGGTTCGTAGTGCAGCACGCTAACCACTACACTACACACACATATACACACGCGCAGTACTCCTGTATGTATGTTGAAATTATTTTGCACCATGTGTAACTAACTGTGCTTATCGGAGGTGCGGGAATATATATGTAGCCAACAACATGTCACCCTTCTCAAAACGAATACAGAATGGGACTCAAGTCCATAAGTGGCAGTGGTGGAATTTCTACATTACCATGGCAGAGACCATTTTCTGCATTGCCTGATCCATGTTTACTTCCCACAAAGTAGTTGCTCATTTTATCAACCCGGGAGGGACAATGAGCTGTATTATTCACCGACCGTGATCCGAATGTGCAACCTTTGTGAATCCAAGTGAATTGTTAACGAACTTGGCCGTATATGTCCAGGTGTACCCTATGTAGTACATAGCGCATATATCAGTGATATATTCTTGTAGCGCATGGCGAGTCTATGTAAACGATACGTCCAGATTTAAGTTTGTGAACCACGTGATAGCTTTGGGAGCAGCGCGACTAATATTGTCCGCTGGAGAGCAAGCGTAGAATGCAGTAGTCGTTTGCGATATGGTCCATTGTTTGGCTTGGGTCGCCGCAGGCGTACTGTGGGTCATCTTTAACTTCCTACTCGTGGAAGGGGTGTGCACAGTCACCGGTCGCTGATCTAAAGCGGTTGATGGAGCCACCACAGTTTTCTTGGCAGATCAAAGCCAAGCGAGGCAAGTGGTGGGGCCCTCGTTGAAGAAGCGTTTATTAGGAACCTTGGCAAAACTCCACAGCATTTGCCCAGCGGTCTTCAGTTAAAAAAAAAATCCCTTTTCACACCATCAATAGGTAAACTCCCCCCCCCCCGTGCCAACCGGCATGTGCACCCGCATGTACACCACCGCTACACCGTTCATCATGCTAAGTCGGCCAATCAAATGCTAATTTTTATGCTAATTCCTTTGTCAAGGCACCTTGTTTCCTCACACACAGCTTAAAGGTCGCGGTCTGAGCGTGGCTGTGTTTCATTCCAGCGCTGTTCTCGAGACAGCCTGATCCCTTCACCTGATGAAGGCCGCTTGTGTTGTGGCCGAAACGTCGTGACTTTTTGTTGTTTTATTTTTTTACCTACGTGACTTTACCGAATAGAACCAAAGAGTATGGATCCTTGCAGTCACGAAAGCTTCAAATCTAGAATTGGTCTTCAGTTAACCCCGCTACATTTGGTTGTCTCGTTTGGCAATCCCAGGTTGGTTTCCGGGATCTCAGACGAGTTCGTGGAGGGTCAAGCAGGTCTTGGTGTAGCGATAATAGCATTGCATTTCAAGCTGCACAAAGAGATGACATCACAGGGCACATTACGTATAACATCACGAGGTGACGTCACGCGTAACGATGGCATGGGGAGGGGAGGTGGAGCAGATGCGTGAACTTAAATCGTTATGGCAGACACTGAGGCGAATATTTTCAGTGGTAGGTTTTTTGTGTCAAAGTTTTGGGAAACTCTTTCGTCAATTTGGCAAGTTTTCCATACAGTAGGTTCCAATGAGCAAAACCATGTTCTACTGAAGTTGTGTTCTGATCGGATCACCTTTACGAGAATTATCATGCCCCAACATTACAGACAGAGATGACAGTGCTAACACAAACACTTTCGACCTTAGTTGCAAAGTGTTCAATGTAAATTGCTAATTCCAAAACAGAGATTAATTAATTGTAGATAGAATGCTACAAAATATTTATGTTGCTGAAGGGAAGAAATATTGAACAATTAATTGTACTTCTGACAGAGAAAATGTATATTCAAACATTTTTTTCCCTCATTTATTTTAAGTCTCTGGTATTTTCACTGCATGAGAAATTGGTTCATTCACTAAGGTTACGTCTTTTTTTTAAGCGAAAAATACCAGGGGTATACATTTACTCTGGGAAAGATAAAATATGTGAAGTAAGTGAGGGTATTCCACCATTGAGACTTCATTAGGACCTTTGAAATGGCTATCGGTCAAAACATTCCATGTTTTAATTTTTGTTAGCTTAATACCATTGGAATATTGTATGTCACTTTCGGTTTAGTAATAAGCATTTTTATTATCGTTACACATTTTGCAATTACAGACATTTCTCATGTGTATGTGCATGTGTGCAGCACAGTTTAGACGGGATACATCAAACATTTACACTTTAATATACATTTAAAATAGATAAATGTATACTTAATTTTCGAATCAATATTTAGATAAATGAAAGTTTCATAATCGTAAGGCTCTGAGTTCAAATTCCAGTTAGGTGTCGAATCAGACTATCATGCCCTTGGGTTCGATAAAAATGAGTACCACCTTCTTTGGTTCTTTCGGTAAAGTCACGTAGAATGAGAATAAAATAATAAATTGATAAAATAAAATAACACAATAAAATTCTCACGACGTTTCGGCCACAACACAAGCGGCCTTCTTCAGGTCCGTTCCTTTCACCTGAAGAAGGCCACTTGTGTTGCGGCCGAAACGTCGTGAGAATTTGATTGTGTTATTTTATTTTATTAATTTATTGGTTTATTCTCATTCTACGTGACTTTACCGAAAGAACCAAAGAAGATGAATCCTTGCAGTCACGAAAGCTTTAAATCGAAATGAGTACCACCTTTTGCGAAGTCAGAAATTG